AACTTGACCTGTCTGAGGCTGTGCTCTGCAGGGTTGGGCTGATTTCTGACATGGCAAAGCAGGATCTACATGTGAAAGTCACGCCTATAACAGAACAGTCTCTTTATAGAACTCCAGAGCCACACCTCACTCTTGACCTTTATCCTGAAAGAGTCCACCTGTGACATTAAAGAGAGAGAGAGAGTGCCAGCCTCCCTACTAATTATTAACTTCACCTCTATTGTTTGAGACTTTAATAATCATACCATGTGCTGCTTTAATGAAACCGAGGGGCTTAGGACCGTAATGTGTTCATAAATATATGTCTAAAAACTAAAAAATTGGGGAAAAGACTGGACTATATAATGATGGGCTGTTGAAAGTTCTAAAATTATTACTAGCCCAAGTTAAAAACAAGCACAGATGGCGTGACCGGGGCTAGCTTTGGCTCCGTGTACCTCAGAAGCTCTCAAAAGCTGTCACATCCATCATGTCCTTCTCTATAATTTTCCACACCCAAAATTTTCTGTAATTTTCATCACAATGCCATTCATCACACTTTCTGTTAGAGAACATGGATAGTTGTCTATCTTTAAGCTTGTGGTTGTTTGCTGTCGGTGTGGTACACTGCTTTAGTTTTCCCCTTAAAAAGTGATTATGAATACCACTAATTTTAGCAGCACACATAGAACTATGATGCATACAATTTGGAAAAAAAAACATTCCTCTACTTCAATAATTAAACTGCTTATTCAAACAGGAAGTGTAGTTTATTGGAAAAAAATGGGGGCAACAGATAATTGGTTAATCATGTACATCCCCAGAAGCAAAATGTGCACAAAAAATATCTAAACCTGCCTGGTTATGTTTAAGGTAAGAATAAAAAATAGATTTTTTTTTCTGAACCATTGCTTTTATAGCATAGCTTACCACTAATGACATCTTTGGTGTTTAGTCTTGCCTTCTTTATGAATAGCAAGTGCTATTATTACCAAATATAATACTGTAATTGTATTGCACTGTATTTCTTTGCCAAATGGGTGATGTTAGTCAGACTTTTTGAAGAAGTGCCAACCTATTTAACAAACATTATTTCTTTCCTCTGTATCTCCATCTCTATAAGTACTTTGAGTACACATCTAATAAGGAGATCCGCTTTAACTCTGTGACTGAGCTGTGTGCTGAGGTTCCAGCAGGCCAGAACTACATAGGAATGAAGCACTGTCCTCGAGATGGCGAGCCAGTTCCTCCTACCATTGTCTGGGAGTTCAGAGATGTGAGTGCCCCTCCAAACCCCTTACAGATACACTTTATGTTTTACATACCAAAACTCATGTGGCTCTTGTCTCGTTTCAGGATGGAAGTATATATCACCCTCACTCAGACATGTGCATAACCTCTTACCGCACGTCGCAGGGGCGCACTGATGTGCAAATGAGCAGATGCTCCACTGGAGACAAACACCAGCAATGGAAGTTTGAATGACTATAATTCCACATTACTCTTAACCCAAGTGCAATTACCATGAGGATAGCTCTTCAATCATGGGGCGGATACAAAAGACCTGGTGAAGTCTTCACAGATGATAACACAGATGATGTCATCCCTTCAGTGGCCTGGTTCACCCATTCTGAGACATTTTATTTTGCACTGTGAGTCTCTCGGTCCTCTCTACTGTGTAAACTTGTTTGACCAATGCGTATCCCCCTGAGGGCTGAGGAACTGAGAGGCACCAAAATTAGGTGTGGAAATGGAAAACAAAGGCTGATTCAGTTGCTTAGAAAGGACGTTGCTTGTTTGCTGGCTGAAGTGGTTTGAAACTCTGGCCTGTCCCAAATGAAATGGTGGACTGGAAGAAAGAGAGAGGTTGGGGTTTTCAGACAGGCCAAAACCAGGCTATCAAGTTCAGTGCCTTTACAAACCAAACGTGAACAAGAGTGCCATTATTTCTGTCATTGTATTTGTATCCTATGTCTCTCTGATGGATAGTTTTGAATGTGTTGCCACATGTTTGATGTACATTTTAAATAACTGTGCAAGACTGTACCAAAATTCCTCTCTGTAGCAACAAGGGAAGATATTATATTGGAACAGCATTTGTGTTTACATGGTTGCACTACAACATTTTAATTAATGAATACATTAGCAGATTTGTGGGTTGCCACTAGTTGGTTACATCTCACGACTATTTTATTTATAAAAGATTATATTGGATGGAAATTTTCAGGGAGTGGTGAGAACTTCTTTGGCTTGCTGTATGGTTTTCCCTTGTCATTACATTGTTCCTTTTAATGTTTTGACAATTGTGGCTGTAAATGTAAAAAGGCGTGGGGGATTCTTTACATTATGATGTGGGTATAATTTGCATAGACTCTAAAAATGTTTTGTAGCAGCACATTTTGTCATATTGAAAAACTACTTGGACTGAGTTTAGATATTACATTTGTTTCAGTTTAAAGCTGGCCGAAAAAGCTGGAAACTGCACTTGAAGGTTGTCAGAAGATGTGAAAAGAAAAATGTGATCACAACAAGCTCAAATAGCGAGTCTTTTATTGACCACTTAAGCTTTTAATTACCACTTGTGCCTTCTTTAATCAAGAAGCAAATTCGTTTTACCACCATCTGATTCAGTATAGTCTCCACAGGGGAATTGGAGGGAAGAATGCCTCTTTCTATATCAAGGTTCCCCTGCTGCATTATTTCACTGGGCCCAGTGCGGCCTCAGTCACCTGGAGACACATCTACACTTTACTGCAAACTACACTTTTTAAAGAAGTATAATGTACAAGGGCCAAAGAGAATGCCATATGACGTGTCATGTTGGTATAAAAGGTGATTCGAAGATGTGCTTCAAAGCATTGGCAGGCATTCGAATTCTGACAGAGTGCAGTGCAATATCTGCATGATTTTGTGAACACTGTCTATAGAAACTGCCTCTGCTATGGCTCTTGGCTACATTGTGTTAACGTGTCCTAAGGATTAAGAAGACTTTCCCCAATGTTAGCCAAAGGAAACATTTTAACTGTTCAGAGTGTTTTTCTCAGTAAGGTCTTCCAGCTGTCAACATAACATACTGTACAATATTATGCTTGAAGTAGAATAGTTCCAGAAGGTCTTAGATTTTCCAGTTGGGAATGATGGGAGCTAGATTACAGGACTGAATAGGATTCCATGGATGTTACAAAACCAACTGTGGCCTCAAAGACTTTTCATAACCAACGTCATTACTTTTTTGCCATTTGCAGCATGTCATTCCTTTTGTAGTTTCTGAGGGTGATTTTTCTGTATGTCTGTCTAAAGTCTATGAAATGGTATAAAGGGACCTTAATGAGATGATGTAAAGTGTAAATGACTATTTAAAACTACTGAATAAGCACAAATGATGGTGACTGCTTTCTGTTAAATAATTGTTTGTTAGTTTGTTTCTTTGTTTTGGGGACTGTGCTGAATCATTCATTTCTGACCATCAAATGAATCTAGTATGTCATTGTTCTGTTTGACTCAAGGTTAATTTTTACATTTTAACTGTAGGCTCTATAAAGAAAAGAAGCATCAGCGTCGTGTCTCTTTCTGTGTTCTGTTGCAGTGCCACCTGGTGGTAAATCATTTACATATGTTTTACTTGACAGCCTGTGAGATGGGAAATTGCATCCAGCATACTGAAATTGAAAGTCATTGCATTATGGGCAGCAAGTGTTTGATCATACCAGTGAGGGTTTGTGATGCAGAGACACCCTTTTGAAAATGTGGCAGGACCTGCAAGATGCCAGTGACCGACAATCCCATTTGGAGGATGGAATGCTTTTACTTTCTTTATTACAAAACATTACAAAACTATAATTTATAGTGTCCTGAGAAATGAGTTACATTACATGTTTCTTGACAGCCCTTTTTAGTCTTTTTAACAGCTCTAGCACTATACCAACCTTCTGTTTGGATGGTTTTAAAAGACTACAAAATGGCATGCAGTGTACCATAGATTATTACAACACCTTTTGTCGCCTTTACAATAAGAGTACTCAATCAAAGTGTGTGGCGCTCAGATTACCATTTCATCTCCGTTAGATTCATCAATTATTGAGGATTTTAATTTGGATAAACATGTATTTTGTTCCGCACATATCAGCTCACATTTTAATACATACTCAAGTCATCCTCACAAGCCATAATAGTTCAGAGAAGAACTAGAGGAGGAATAGTGTTATTTTGCTAAGGCTAATATAATATGCTCAGTTCCTTTGCCATGGGAAAACACCTAAAAGGGTCTATTTTATGGAAAAATGAATTAATCTGAATTAAAATGAAGCAAATATTGTTAAAATTTCAAAATATACTGCTCACTTCCCCATACATACAGTACACTAAGCTGCAAAAACAGTCCAGTTGTTTTTGTGATGTCATGAAAACTAGAGTATTATTATTAATATTACATTATCCATATATATATATATATATATATATATTATATTCTGTTTACAGCAATTTAGCTCCGCCCAGTTATGTTGAAGTTGGCCTGTTTCAGCCCAGACTGCTGTTTGAATGAGGTACGGTTCAGGGCAGTCAATCAAAACATTTATATTTACATATATCAGTTTTAAAGACACAGTAACACAACCCTAAAAGGTAAACAGAAGATGAAAAATGATCATGTAAAATGAATTATGGCTATTTTTGGTACATAAAACCACACAAATGTCATGAGTGGACCTCAGAGAGACAAAAAAGTGGCATGAGCGCTTTAACATTGACTACGGTCACTACTCTTGAAATTATTTAATCTTGGGCTGCTTATTGACACAGCCAAAAATAAAGAATTTTTGAAGACATTTTGCTGACTTGACAAAAGGCTCTTGTTGTGTCTGGGTGTGTAACACATGGCTCAGTAATACTCTCACATGACTGTCCCTCACTTGAACCGCGGCTCAATCTCAAATGTCTCCCTACTCCCTAATATAGTGCACTACTTAGGTCATGAAGTAATGACTTCTGCACCCAAATAGTGCACTAGACGTATAAATGGAGGGTGTTTGGGACGTAGCCCATTTTTAGACGCTCAAGTCTGGACGGTGTTTTAACTTTTTTGCTAGCTACTCCTCCCGGAAGCAGTTAGCGCGCTGTGTCTGAACTTACTTAAGCAGCAACGCTACTTTTCTGAACTACGTAGCTACGTTTTGTCGTAAACGTCCGCTGCGTCGGAAACGGCGACTCGAAGTTGGAAACACGAGAAAAGACTTTTCGTCGAGTTTCGCTGGTTTACTTTGTCATGAAATTGGTTTGAGTGTAGTTAGAGAGGCTCCCTCCTACGCTCTCCTCCCTTCAGCTTCCTGGAGACCAATCTGAACACTTTTAGTCAGACACTTTTCCGTGTCTAGCGTTACTAGGAGCCCAGTTTCCCAGGTGGGAAGCGCTCACTCGTTCACTTAAGTTTCTCCTTCACCATGGCAGGAAGATGGCCGGGCACGGGCGGGCGCTAAATGGATTTGGATTAGCACTTCTTGCTGTGTAAAACCCAGAGAAGACTCTGTGATTTGACCTGGATTTCTTTCTCCTTCGGTGCTAGCCTAATCTAGCTGTAGCAGTTAGCTAATCTAATCGGGTAAATCCTCCTCCTGCCTGAACTGCACTGCGCCCTGATCAACGCTTCGCCCTCAGTTCCTCAGTTCCAGCTCCGAGCCGCTGTCCGTCTGTCTGTCTGTCTGTCTGTCTACGCGGAGATGATGATGATGAGCCCTCAGCCCGTTTTCAGTTTGTCACTCAGGCTGTAAATTCCGGGTTAGTTGGCACCGTTTCTACTCGCACTTCATTCCTGTTTCATGTGAGCAGCTCTGTCTCTGGAAGTGGGCGAACTTCTGAACTTCTCATGGAGTTGAACTCGGGCAGCTCGGGCTGAAAGTAAGTGGGCCGCTCGCTCTCTTGGAGCCGGCAGGAGAGGAGGAGGAGAGGAGAGAGGCACTATGGCATTAAGGGGGCGAAGGAGCCGCTCAAAGTTACTGCTCTGCATTCTCGGAGCCTCGGTGTTTGTGTACTTCGTATTTCACAGAAACAGCCCTTCAGGCGAGGTCAGTCGAGCAAACCGACGAGGGGTGTCAGACGACGGCAGCATCGACGTGGAGGACCCTGAGTCTCTGAAGAGACCCGTCTACGAGAAGCCTCCGTTAGATTTAAATGCGCTGGGAGAGATGGGCAGAGCCGTTAAACTAGACCTGACGGGAGAGGAGAAGATAAAAGAGGAGGAGAGCATTAAAAAACACCAGATAAACACGTACGTTAGCGACAGAATCTCTCTGCACCGCAGGCTGCCTGAGAGATGGAACCCGCTGTAAGTTCACCTCTCTGTCTTCTCTGTGTTTGTGCAGGTATTGGGAGTGAAAGGCTGATATGAAGTAGAGGTTCATTCGTATTTTAGGTTGTTGCCTTTGTCGGTCCATAAAATGGTCACCGTGGCTGTTTTTTTACTCCCTTACAGTGTGCACTTTGGCACTTTTAAAAGCCTGTCAAACAGCTTCCAGAGCGTCAGAGGAGACTGAAAGGAGGCCTGGCCTTGTTCAGGCGTCTGACACCTGTCCTAAAGATAAGAAGGGGCCGTTGCCCAGTTTGCACTGCTCTTAGTGATAGTTCTGTGGAATAATGTAAATATTGACAAGTGTAAGGTAAAGGTTGTTAAGCAATGTTAGTTAACAAGAAGTTGCTTAACTGACTCTTCCTTCCGACCAAGCAAACATTTGTAGTTTCACTGTGGCTGGCAGAACATGCAAAACAGTAGATAACTAACTGTAAAGAAAAGAAATCTACCTGGTTCTACAGTCGTGGAACACTTTATCAGGAACACCTCCTTGTTTCTACACTCATTGTCCATTTTATCAGTTCCACTTACTATATAGGAGCACTTTGTAGTTCTACAATTACAGACTGTAGTTCATCTGATTCTCTCCATACTTTGTTAGCCCCCTTTTACGCTGTTCTTCAGTGGTCAGGACCACCACAGAGCAGGTACTATTTGGGTGGTGGATCATTCTCAGCGCTGCAGTGACACTGACATATTGGTGTGTTAGTGTGTGTTGCGCTGGTACGAGTAGATCAAACACACCTCAATGTCACTGCTGGACTGAGAATAGTCCACCAACCAAAAGTATCCAGCCAACAGCGTCCTGTGACCACTGATGAAGGACTAGAGGATGACCAACCCAAACTGTGCAGCTGCAGATGAGCTACTGTCTCTGGCTTTACATCTACAAGGTGGATCAGTAAGGCAGATGTGTCTAATAGAGTGGACGGTGTTTAAAAAGTCCAGCAGCACCGCTGTGTCTGATCCACTTGTACTAGTGCAACACACACTAACACACCACCACCACGTCGGTGTCACTGCAGTGCTAAGAATGATACCTGCTCTGAGGTGGTCCTGTGGGTGTCATGACCACTGAAGAACAGAGTGAAAGGGGGCTCACAAAGTATACAGAGAAACAGATGGACTACAGTCTGTAATTGTAGAACTACAAAGTGCATCTATTTGGTAAGTGGAGCTGATGAAATGGACAGTGAGTGTAGAAAAAAGGAGGTTTTCCTAATAATGTGCTCTGTGAGTGTGTATTGGTGCTATGTTCATGGAGAGTTGGTTGAAATCACTTGAAACGCTGTTTAAATTCTAAAAGGCTGTGGAGAGACTTTAACAGTTTTAGTATAAAGTTGGGCTGCACAATATACAATTTGAAAGTTTTTTTCCAGGGTTCTTTAGTGAAGGCATTGGTTATGTATAGAACCATGACAACTCAAAGAACCACATGAATGCGTTAATGGTTCTTCTCTATGATTTGAAAACCTGTGGAATATGGTTCTTTAAAGAACATGTTTAAAGAATGGTTCTATATAGCACTTGGCAGTGTGACAATATATAGTTAACATGATAAATCATGTCACAATACAGTACGATATGCTTTTCTGAACGTGTCGTGGATATTATCAGTGCTTATGGAACACAGACTAACTGCATGTTTCATTATAAAGGGAGCAAAATTAGTATTGTTTCAACAGGATGTATTGTAATACAATATGCAAAATATTGAATAAAATCCTCGTGTTTACAGTATTTTTTAAAATGTAGCACTGCTGGTTCTTTTTTCTCTGTTCCAACTGATCAGAGGTCGGAACAAATAAATATCATAACATATCATGTATTGTGAAAATTTCTTGATGCATTGTAATCTTTTATTTTTGCCACCTGTAGTTCTTTATAGCACCAAAAGTGTTTATATAACTTTTTTGGTACTATGTAGATCCCTTTTTGCTAAGAGTGTAGTGTATAAATTGCAGGTTTTTTCTTGCACAGGGAATTACGATGCAGCCGCCAATGTCAAATTTTGTGCTGCCTCCATCTCTCGACTAAACTCTGATGGGTGTCTTCGCGGAAAACGCTATTTTATAACAAGTGTTACATTTATAGACTGTATATGGCCTTAACTAGCAACTAGCATGAGAACACAGAGATCCTCGGGAGTTAATGATGGGTTTAATGACATTCAACATGGAAAGAGCGAAGAGACAACCGAATCAGCAGTGAATGGTTCTCAGCTGACCTCGGAGCAGCTGTGCTTTGGTCACAGACTGAACTGCTCGCTGTGTTTATCTCTGTACTAGATGTCATGCTAATGCTACACAGAGCAACTTTGACTTCTTAAGATGTAATGTTACCGTAATGCAGCACCTATACTGTAGGCTAGCGTACTACATTGCTGCGATAAAATGTGAGAGGTTCTATAGGGGAAATTAACAAATTATGATTGTAAAATGTGAAGCCTATAACTTGTTTTTTATTTGGACCACTAGTAATGTTGCACGTAATCAGCACGCTTCAGTCTAGTTCCACTACCTGCTCAGTTTAGGCTACAGGCTCTGTAGTTGGCTATATTAGCCTTTACTGTACCTGTACCAAATATACCTCTCTACTATATTAAAGAGGTATATTTGGCTGTATTATGTCTGGTTATCTTCTGTATCTTCCTTCCTGTTAGCTGGGGTTTGGTAGTGACTTTTATGAAGTATTTTTAGTGTATGCAAAAGAGAGTCAGAGAGATAAGTGAAATATAGTTAATGTAACTATCAACTGGTTTAGCATATATAGGTTTCAACTTGTATTTTCAGTTTAAAATTAAATGATAGTTAAATGATTAATTCAGTAAAAGTTAACAGGGTAGTGAGTTTATGGAACAGTAGTAGCAGTTTTATAGAAGATTGGAGGGATGGGAAAAGAATAAACGAAAGGAAAAAGTACATAATTATGGACAGTTAAAAAGGAGCAATGATTTGGTTAAACAATCTAAAGGAGAAACTTACAGCTTGTGTAATACACATGTTTGTCAGTTAGTTAGGCACTGTGATGTAAGTTCCTTTTTCTGCAAAATGGACCTCACTAAGTTTTTTTCCTAGTTACGGTCCTGGGTAGCACTTCCACAAAAGCTTTACTTTGTAAGTTACAAGAAATTAATATTAAATAGTTGTTTTAAAAAACAATAATAGTTGTTTTAAATAATAATAATTACATTTATGGTAAAAATGTTCACTCGAGTCAGTTGAGGTCAGGGTACATGCCTCATTTTGAGCCAGGAAAACCTTAGTATTGTCAAACTCCAACAACTTGCAGTATGGAGATGCCTGTATCAGTGTGTGAGAAGTAATGATGATCTGTGTCTAGTCAGAGTTTTCATGTCATGCCTGCACTCTTTTTATCCACAGATGCAAAAATCTGAAATATGATTACCGGAGCTTGCCCTCCACCTCAGTGGTGATTGCCTTCTACAACGAGGCCTGGTCCACTCTACTACGCACAGTGCACAGTGTACTAGAGACGTCACCTGACCTACTGCTTACAGAGGTGATTCTGGTGGATGACTACAGCGACAGAGGTTTGGACTGGACTTTTCCCTATAGAAATTATGAAACTATTTACACTTCATCCCTGTTTGTTTCTGCTCAGAATACTTGTTGACATGCAAAAACCAGCAAAGGAAGTGGCACAGTAAAAATATGACCCATCTTCACCACCATCAGCTTTCTACTTAGTGCTTATTATGTCTGTATTAGCTGTTATAATCTCCTTATAGCCTAGGTTCTCAACCCAGGATGTTTACCCATACTGATCCAGCTCCCAACTCAACTGATCTCAGCAACCAAGGGATAGTGTTTCTCACCTTTACTGGGAATGAAATGACTCTGGGAACTTCAGGACTAAGTTGAGAAGTCCTGCTTTACAGGGTTCATAGTAAACTCCACCTCAGTAGTAAAAAAGATTGAATCTAGTAGAAGTTTTGGTGACATAAAATATCAAGTTACATGTTGTTTGTGTAAATAAACTCAAATTTAGAAGTAAAACATCTTTGCTGCAGGGTGAATCATATTTTTATGTTGATTGGCTCAGTACATGCTGCAGTGGCAGAATGGGTCAGATTACTTGATAGTGACTGTCAGAATCTAGTGTTGGAACCAAAAAGTGGTTTCCAGCACTGAAACCGTGCTCTCCCTTGATCAGAGCAAGTAAATTAAACCATTTGACTAAACGGCCAATTACTCACCTCCACAGCTCAAAAACAACTCTCTCCTGAACCACTAGCCTGTAAAATACTTTAAATATGATTATTATTCTCACTCCAATTGTTGTGTGTAAAATGTTTGAAGCAGTAATTGCTCCTGTCACAACAAATCTGCATCACTAAGAAAAAAGCTGAAGTTATAATATATTTGTGTATTTACGGGCCCGTCCACAATTATTTGCACCCCTGGTAAAGATGAGTTAAGAGGGTTCACCTTTTGGTGAGTTAGCTTATCATTAGAAACTGAAAAAATGAGAAAATCCAACCTTTACTTGAAATAAATTTATTCTGAGAAAAAATTTCACTAAGGAATAATTATTTTTAACAAAACCACATGTGATACTATTATTGAAACCCTTAGAAATTCTTAGAAATACGATGTAACTGAAGCATTTTTTCCATTTGTATTTTACTTTTTTAAGTTGATCAAAGTGTCAGGAGCTTTCAAGCAGTAATCCATGACATCCTGTTTTACTGGGATATACAGGGTGATTCAAAAAGATTCATTTGATTTCAAAATGATTTATTTTACTTGTAAATCATTATAGAACAATGCAGTAAATTGTAAATGGTTTAAGTGAGCATAAAGTTTATTATGTAATTTTACAAACGCGCAATATGAAGCTCCTCCAGCTGTACAGACAACATCAACACCACAGTCAAATTCATCCCATATGATTGAGCATGTTGCATGTCACTGTCCTCATGGCTCTTTCAGTGCGATTTTGGAGATTATCCAGTGTTGTTGGGAGTGGCACATAAACAGAATCCTTAACATACCGCCACAAAAAAAAGTCACACAGTGTGAGATCTGATGATGCTGGTGACCTTTTCTTGAAACTGTTGGTAGCAACGACGAATGCTCCGAGCTGTTGGAGGTTCACTGCCATACTGACAGTCAGAAACTCTATGACCCACTCCTTCAATTGGTATGTGATTGGTTCCTAGGTGCCTCACGGTTGTACAAAATATAGTGCTTTGAAATTGGATTAATTCTTTTGAATCACCCTGTATACATGAGTTACAGTCAAGTTTCTTTAGTCATTTTTTAACATAGGGGAAAAACAAGAGAGCACACAATTCAAGTAAGGGAAATGTGTGTTGACCTTCATAGGTCAGGGAATGGCTATAAAAAAAAAATTGATACTCACCTGAAAATGCCTATATCTACAGTTAGGGCAGTAATTTAAAAGGTTCCCCTACACAGAGAGGAGGTTGGTAAGGGGGTAAAACAAATCCCCCAGGGCCAGTACAGAAAAACGTAGCATCATGGGGTCACCAAGTCTCCAAAACTACCATCAGACGCCACCTCCATACCAACAGGTTATTTGGAAGGCATGTCAGGAAAAAGCCTTTTTTTGTCATGTAACCACAAATATAAGCGCCTGGTGTTTGCTGTACTCTACTGGGACTTTGACTGGAACCATGTACCATGGTCAGATGAAACGAACATTGAGCTTTTTGGCAACAAACACTCAAGATGAGTTTGGCATAAAACAAAGGATGCCTACACAGAAAAGAACCTGATGCCCACTGTTAAGTACAGTGCAGGGTCTGTGATGTTGTGGTAATGTTTGTGATGTTTTTCCTCCAAAAGCCCTGGGAACCTCATCAGGGTACATGGCATCATGGACTCCAATGAAATAGCAGAACATTTTAAGTCAAAATCTGTCTGCCCCCTGCCAAGAAACTAAAAATGGGTTGTCATTGGATCTTCCAGAGGGACAATGATCTAAAACACAGGGCCAGATCAACACAAAAATGGTTTACTGAACACAAAATCAAGCTTGTGCCATGGCCATCTCCGTCCCCTGATCTGAACCCCTTAGAGAACCTGTGGGGGGAGCTAAAGAAGAGAGTGTACAAGAGAGGACCTGGGGGAGATTCTGTAAAGAGGAAGGGTCTTAAGATCCCTGCTCTGTATTCTCCAACCTTATAAGATGTTATAGAAGAAGACCAAGTGCTCTTTTATTGGCACAGGGAGGTTGTACACAGTATTAAATGCAGGGTGCCAATAATTGTGACACATGGTTTTGTTAAAAATATTTTTTTTCTCAGAATAAATTTGCTTAAATTGAGGATTGGATATTTTAGTGTGAGATTAAGCAAATTCACCAAAAGGTGAATTTCATCTAACCCTTTTTACTCATGTTTACCAGGGTTGCCAGTACAGGTTGGGGTGTAACAGAATACAAGTATCGGGAATATATATTCAGAATACATATTCACAATACAGAAATACAGAAGTATGTTTTTAAGGCAGAATATTCAGAATACAGTTACTTTACGTTTTAGAACACTGTTAGAAAACTTAAGTATTAAATAAAAAAATACAGTTTTCAAAAGAAACACCATCAATGCTTGTTTATAAACAATTTTGAATCAGCACGCAGCATGTAGATTATCTCAAATTATTATTTTTTTTCACTTAAAGGGGAGGTTAGTTATATTTCTGTTTATAAAGCTTAAAAAAGTCATATCCAGTCAGAGACTATTTTATAATTATAGACAAAACATTTATTAAATGCAGTTTCTACACAAATATACATATATGTGTTTTAAAAGCAGGGAAACTTGCACCGGTGTGATAATTTTGGAACATACTCCTTTAGAACATTTGAAGCAGCCTCTGGAGGACTACATAGCCAGCCTGAGGAAAGTTCGTTTGATCCGAGCCAGGAAGAGAGAGGGGCTGGTCAGAGCTCGGCTCTTGGGTGCCTCCAGCGCCACGGGCGAAGTGCTGACTTTCCTCGACTGTCACTGTGAATGTCATGAGGGCTGGCTGGAGCCCCTGCTTCATAGGTCAGAGCACCTCAGCATTCTTTCATTATTTGATTTATCCTTTCAGCGCTTGTGGTAACCCCAGATTCCTGTATCTCTTACCTGCAGAATAAAGGAGGAACCCTCTGCCGTTGTATGCCCAGTAATAGACGTAATTGACTGGAACACTTTCCAGTACTTAGGGAACCCAGGAGAACCTCAGATTGGGGGCTTTGACTGGCGCCTGGTTTTCACTTGGCACACTGTTCCTGAATACGAGCAAAAACGAAGGCACTCCCCTACCGATGTCATCAGGTACGTTGCTCTTTGTGGGTCAGGGTGGGGTTAGCTCTATTATATGGCTGTTAGCTGATATCTTAAAAAAACATTAGTCAGTACAGTCACTATTTACACTGCAGGGTCAAACTGTAAAAATGAGTTTTGTTATATAGGTGTGCTTTTTGGGTCTATTGAAGTTTTGTTGGGCTTGGAGTATTACACTGATAACTCAGAATATATTGAAATGTTGACTGAAGCTACCTTGCAGGTTACTTTAAATCACCTTCACTTTCAAAGAGGAACAGCATTTCTGTGTATTTCTTAAAGGAATTACTACAGAATATCTAGAAAGAAGAGAAATCATTCAGAAGAATTGCAGCTTTGGAACAGGGATAAATAGAAAGTTATGTACCTTCTGTTTTATCCTATTTTCTTTCAGATCTCCGACCATGGCTGGTGGCCTATTTGCAGTCAGCAAGAAGTATTTCCATTACCTGGGCACGTACGACACAGGAATGGAGGTTTGGGGAGGAGAGAACCTTGAGTTTTCTTTCAGAGTGAGTATATATGTGCTCGTATGAGTGCTTTTTTGTGTGTGGAGCTCTCTATTATTCACCGTTTCACATTTCTCCGTGCTGCTGCAATGGTAATATGTGACTTATTTTCACTGTGTTAGTGTGAAGTAAATATGATTATTTACCCAAGCTCTGTAGGTTAGCCTGTGTTGTTTACACCATCAGTCAGACTGTCTTTGGCAGCCATCTCTGTGATTAACTAAACCTCCAGTGCCTGTGGTGTATTTGTTCACCCAATTGAAATGTTTGTGTTGTGCTTGTTCACCTCAGTCCTTTAATTACTAACTCCAGCAAACACAACTCTAAGAAGTCTGTCATTTACATTGACACTTGCCAAGCAATAGCAGAATTATGTTCTGAGTGTTGTGACAGAAAGGAAACCGCTTCTACGGATTTATGACATAGAACACCTTGTTTCCAATGAGAAACGGAGCAGATAGCTGTTCAGTCCATTCATCAGCACAGACAGACTTGCTTATTGTATGAGTCCTAACTGCATTAGGCTAATTTGTTTCTTGTGGTCTTGCTTTTCCACAGATCTGGCAATGTGGAGGAAGTTTGGAGATCCACCCCTGCTCTCATGTGGGTCACGTCTTTCCTAAGAAGGCTCCCTACTCGCGCAGCAAGGCTCTCGCCAATAGTGTACGGGCAGCAGAGGTCTGGATGGATGGTTACAAGGAACTGTACTACCACCGCAACCCCCATGCACGCCTGGTATGAACGCTGGTAAACACTGGACTGTATGAGATTGAGCTGGTCAAATTTATACAATTTTCCTCTTACCCCAAATGCAGTGGCCTGCCAAGACATGTTTGGCCATTTTGAATGAAAGAATTTTCCGTTCACGTGAACCATGTAGATTTGATGAGTTTTTAATTGTGGAAGGAGGGGAGATCTACTGCCAGCAGAGAATTCTGAGGGAGAATCTCTCCTCTCTTCCAGAGGAGAGCACAGCAGCTGTTCACAATCAATATTCATCTAAACTACAGATATAGTATATTTTCATGGCCAATGAAAACTAAGCCAGCGTTAATGGAAAGTGAAAGAGCCTTGTTCCCTGATCAGAGAAGCTGATTTCATTTTTGTGTATTCTAATTTCTTTCCAGTGGCTTTCAGACAGTGGGCAGAAAAGGTCAATATGTGAAAATGATCATTGTCAGTGACCAAGACAATCATTTACCACTTTGTTTCTGTCTGAAATTGATTTAGTTGATTACTGTACAACTTCGTAACCACTACGAGAGCTTAGAGGCCATTGACAAAATAAAATCTCAAATAGCGATCATCGGGGCCAAGCACTACATGTATCCAGCAGAACACAAATGATGGGCAAAGTGGCTCCTATTTATAATAGATGTGGGATCTTAGAAGAAGATGTCTGTCAAATACCTTTTGGTACAGTAAGCTACAGATTTTTAACAAATACGTCTTGGAAAAAAAAAGTTCTGTTTTTGGACATGACTTGTTTGCATAGTTTTTGAAATCAATTAGCTAAATAATTCCACAGCAATTACCCTGTATTTCAGTATCATTGTGCATAAGAATGCACCAGAATTTTCATGTTAAAATCACAAAAATGTTCTCCTACATACGATGCTGCTGGCCCCACCACAGGAGACTGGTTTCTGAACTTGCTCATGAATTTTTTTGTCCGAACTAACAGGTAACGGATGTCTGTGGCCAGCAATTAGCATTGAGAATACTGAAGCCTAAAATCATCACACTCTTTTCCGTTTTTTTTAAATGTTCTGAAATAGACTTGCATATATGGTTTCTGACATACTGTACTATGCACTTATCTATAAAAATGGACAGACATACATTGTATAGCTACAAGTTGTAGTAGCAAACATAATTTTATCCACTGTAAAACTAAAGAAGCAGACTTCAGACACCAAACATGTCTTAGTTGATTGACAGTGTTTGGGGGAAAAAGGAGAAAATAGCTTTTTGGCCTGAACCTCTTTAATTTGTGTTTACCATGACTATCATGTTCGTTTGTTTGTCTTCCTGTTTCATGAGGCATGTTTATCACTGTCATCTGAATGACAGGTTAACGGCAGCATAAAGCAGACCTTGATTGATTATGAGGCCTTTGAGAAATAAGATACACATGCATGCTTACTTATGCACACAAGCTGTAAGCATGAACCTACTGAGTGACAGACAGCACTCAGTTGAGTTCTGTCCCAAGGTGACACCCTGTTTGCTAGGTGTAAGATTACAACATTGAGAAGTAGATTCTCTCTCGGGTTGTTTGTATGTCTTCCACTTGCCCTTGAGGAGCCAGCACCCGGTGCCCCTCCGGGGCTGGTACTTAAGGGAAGAGACACTCTTAGCATGGATCGGGTACCTCTCATGTCTCTCCGTTAGGGAGATTGTGCCAGGTTGGCAGTGCCAGGTAGAAATCGATCTTGTGCGATCAGAGCTGATAAGCCTCTTTCTTCTTCTGGATTTGTACCACAGGCAAACACCAGCGCTGCCAGGGTGGATCGAGTGTGACTAAGTCTTGTCCTTCTCCAGGCAGTTTTGTAAAAGGATCTCATTCTCTTTCACTCTCAGAGACTCAAACCATATTTTATTAATGGCCTAAATCTCTGTGGATTGTGTCAGTCTGGCGTAAAAGATCAACAAAGTGATGCTCAGTGATGGATCTCTGTCATCAGCTAGCCTAGTCAGTCTGATTTTGACCACTTGATTGAGTGTAAAGTTCATATGTTTCACTCATATCTGGAAAAGTAAGCGTAATCTCAGTTTTAAGTTATTTCCCTACGCTTTTATAATACTTGGGCACCCAACTGTTCCTTTGGCCGATGCAGGAATCTGATGAATCATCACCTCGTCAGTAGAAGAAGCAGTAGCTCATTTAAAGCGGCCATGGCCACTGTCATCTATCTTTGCACAGTGCTGCTAAATGGCTCCGACAGGGCTCTGCCTCCACCAGATGTTGCTCGCAAATAAGTGCGTCTGCACTGCTCCTCTGTGGGCCATAGCTCAGCAGTACCCAGCATCTAAGATGGCAGGAATGTGGGCCGACCGCAGCCATTCACACACAAACAAGCCCCACGCCTCAAGCCGCATATCAGGTTGTGCATGGATTGCTTAAAGGGTGAGGCTGCAGCACACATTCATCTTTGAAATGTGAGGTGGCAGTGTGTGGGTGACTATATATGTCAGTTGAGTTTTCGTGCTGAAATTCCTGGTTGTTAGAATAACAGGATGGTGTTTTTTCCCCTGACGAGTGAATATTTGTGTGGGTTTTTTGTGGAAACAGTAGAATAGATGATGCTGGGTTCAGCTATTTTGAAGGGGAGTGCTGATGCTGATGGATAGCCTCAGCTTATTTTTATTGGTGTACTTGCTGTGGGTCAATAACCTCTGCAGTGGTTCTACTGTGTCATTATGAGCAGTTCTTTTTTTCCGGGCGGTCTTATGATGTTAGTAAAAAAAAAATATGAGGCAGTAAAGCTTAATTTTAGGTTCTTCAAAATGCCACCCAGTGTTCTCTTTATGACATGCTTGTGTCTAAATGATGGCTGAGAGACCAGGAATGCCCCGTGGGAACCTTTACATTAATATTGTACTGTCATCTATCTGAAATATCTGTCATAGCTCACTCTTAACTGGAGTGTATAGGAGTTCCAGTGTTCAATATGTGGTACTGGTGTCATGTTCGCAGTACAGGTTTATTGCTTTTTAAAAGTGTAAATGGCATCTATAAAGGACAGAGCCTCGAATATGTTTGTTCCTCGGCTTACAGCCACTTATTACAGAACCTATATGTGTAATAGTTCACCTGATCTACATAAAGGAAGGAAGGTATGAGAACAAATGGTTCTGATACTAAAGAGCTTTTTGTTTGAAACCTAGTGCAGTATCAATCCATTCTTGTATCCAGGAGGCGTATGGTGATGTGACGGACAGACGGAAACTGAGGATGCGTCTAAACTGTAAGGACTTCAAGTGGTACCTGGAGAACGTCTATCCTGACATCCATGTCCCAGAGGATCAGCCTGGCAGGTTTGGAATGGTGAGGACGCCAAGTAGAGCTTTCCAAGTACACTATTCAGAGCTGTGCAATGTATTGTTGGTTAATTATTAATGGCCTTGGTAATACTGGTATTGCAGAAGGTTCAGTATGCAAATGAGACCTTTAACTAATCACAGTTTTTCCTCCAGGCTGTAAGAATTATGGTTCTAAATGCGTGTTTGTGTGTATAACAGTGCATTTTTAATAAATTGAAAGGAGTATCACAGTTGCGCTGTGTAGCAGTATAATGATACTAGTATTTTGTCCATGTTGTCTAGTCCTACTTCTCTTAACAGTGTTTCCTCCTTGGAGGAGTACCGTGAGGGGTTGACGGAGGCTATTTGAATATATGGATATCTGAACTCATGAGAGCGTTTTTTTGCTTATTTGAGTATGTGTTTTTATTGTGAAGCACCTTATGGACTTGGCTAAAGTGATGGTTTAGCTCATGAAAATGACCACGGGGGAAAAAAGTGATCAGTGACACTATATGCCATTGTTTATTCATAAAAATTTTAAATATTTACTCTTTGGAATTTGTTAAAATAGGATGAAATATACTTGGTTGACCCTCAATATACTTTAGGGGGGTGTCCAAGTAAAACCTAAGAGTGGGAAACACTGATGAGCATTGCTCCTTATTCTCTTATTAATTGCAGTTAAAGAATCGAGGGATGACCAACTATTGCTTTGACTACAATCCACCTGATGAGCATAATGTGGCGGGCCACAGAATCATTCTGTATCCGTGTCATGGCATGGGCCAAAACCAGGTAGGAAACTCCTTCTGAAACTTTATAGCAGTATGAGCAGTTTCGCTCTTTATAAAGTTCCCTAATGTACAGCTGACCACTGTAACTCATTCTCTCCCCATAACCTGTTCCAATCAAAGTGAATTATGTCTCATCTAGGAAATGCACTGCCCTCAATGCCCTCAACAGCTTTAAGATAACAGTAATATAGTGCATTAATAACATGCTCCATTAAAAATAGCATTGTAAATCTAAGCAGTCCTGTTATTAGTGACTCTAGCTGCCTGGTTGCCTGGCATTGCAGTATGACTCCAACAGCTCCTCCCTCTCAGGGGGATATGGTGTTCACAAGCTGCAAGATCCAAAGATGGTTGTGCGCACAGGATCAAACTAATATACCATGTATGCTTGTAATATAGTCTCACTAGGCAATCAAAATGAATGGCTTTATATTACTACCTACTTTTATCTTTAAGACCAGCCTATCAGGATTGTGCTTTAAATAGATCATGGTTGGGAGGTGCATTTAGGGTTGCTTAGCGTGGGATGTTTGTATATTTTTCCATGGTGATATTAACCCTTTGTTGTTGTTGTTGTATATGGTTACAAGTATAAGTACACACCTGTTCATACTGTACAGCAGTGACGTCCTGAACATCACAATATTCTGAAGGGTTACATTTTCATTTCAATAACATCAGATGAGCAGTAATATCAATTTTAAAATCAGAATTCTCTGTTATTTCATTATTCTAGTATAGATTGAAGAGGTATAACCAAATAACCAAGATATGATGTCTTCATGCAAGCATTATCCATTCTTTAAACAGCAAAAATATTTCTGTTTTTTAGATTTTATGCATATAAATAGCATAATAGATGAGCACAAACAACTTTTATCTAACTATGAAGACACATGAAAATAATGTTACAAATATCTGCAGCTTGAAGTACTCATGATTATCTTCATCATTATTCTTATCATATGTCCTAACACTACACTGTAAAAAATTGTATTTGTAACTAACCTGCCTGCTTTAAAATTTTGCATTCATTGAGCATCTCAATGAGTTAGTAAGTTTCCATTATTTGAAGTCCAGTAAAATCAGAATTTTAAGGCAGCCAGGTTACTTACTTTTTAAGATGAAACACCAAGTCGTTCCTTTTAATGCAATAAGACCCTGTATTGAATCATATATCTTAATTTCACCCCCTCTGCTGTCTATCTTCCTGTGTACCAGTTCTTCGAGTACTCCTCAGACAACGAGATCCGGTACAACACAAGGGAACCTGCCGGCTGTGCCGCGGCTGACCCAGTCTCCACCTTCCTCACCATCGGCCTATGCAGAAAACCCCGAGAGACAGTGCCTGAAGATCAGAAATTTGTGCTCAAAGAGGTGAGGTATTGTCATTGGTTGTGAGGGCTGCATGGACACACGTGATGTTTGAACTGGCTTCGTCAGACATTGTGTTCATTTAAACTGAGGAAAAATGCTCATGGTAATGAGCTCGCTTGGCAGTTTGAAGCTGTGCGTTGAATGATCAAAAGGAAAAACACTTCTTTCCTAAACACAATCAGGATGATAAAATTTATGAAACTTAACATAGAAAGAAGCCTTACTTGTGCTGGGGCTCATGAATAAACTCTTTCCCAGGACAGAGATGATTCAGATCCTGTGAGCGAGCAGAGAGGGACTTTGTCTGGATAGCAAAGAAAGGCAAGGACATTGGCCATCGCAGCGATGAGGAGGGCCAGTGTTGGCTTTCTTTGGGGACTGGGAGAGGGGGGTACAACGCTGTGTTTGGCTGGTGCCTGTGTTTGAGTGAGCCTGAGGCCTTGGAGTGCTCTCAGAGAGAAAGACCAAAAGCTCTGACATTAGGCCCTCTCATTCCATAAGCGTACGAATGAGGAGCCTTCGGCTGTCCTGCGGGGCTTTCATTTCAACACACAACAAACAGCTTTTCTGTATATTAATATGTAGCTCTGCAAACAGCTCGTCCTGGATTTTTTTTGAAAGCCATATTGGGGTAGTTTAGATGTACAAGAACGTTGTGAGTATTTTAGCAGACTGTAATAGCACACTGGAAAAGTGATGCAGTGATTTTTACTTGATTCAAATGTGTACATAATTTCTGCATGGATAAAATACATTCTAACACATTCTTGCCTTTCCGTTTGCTTACTTTTAGCAATACCTGCATTAATGTTACGTATTTTAGTCAAGTGGAGATAGAGAATCAAGTAAACTCAGTTTGTTACTTTAAAGAAAATGAATTTGCTTAGAAACTGTCTCCAAAAGCCTTGTTTATTTCTTCAGATTAAATTGTCTCTAAGTGTTGAATAATGGTTTCAGCCATTACTCTTGATGCTTTTTTTAATTGTGCTTATTTTATTATGTTTTAAGATGCACACAGGGACAGCTTGCACAAGAAAATTCTTCCACACTTGGGAAAATGAGGAAAAAGGAAGCAAACGCAGATTCAGCAGATAAAAATTGTTAATAGTAGTATGTGTGGCTAAAGTAAGGATAAATTAGTGCCTTGAAGATCAATGTAGATGACTGATAGAAGAAGAAAGCAGAGTAGAAATATCTGAAAGAACTTATGACCCTAACCAGTGATGTTTCTGCTTGAACAGGATGGCACTCTGTACCATGTCCAAACTCAGAAGTGTGTCGAAGCTGTGGAGAAAACGGACAACGGCAACCCTGGTCCTGCTCTGCGGCCTTGCACTATCTCAGCGTACCAGCGGTGGTTCTTCGAGGAGAGAGCGTAACAGAAAGAAACCTTCCAGAAGCTTCTAGCACTTTCCCTGCAGTTTAGCTGCGCTAGAGTCAGGTTTGAAAGGGCATTGTACAAAAAGGCAGTTCTGTCACACTCAACAAATATTCATTCATATACATGCCCCAGTATGTATGACTTCCTTTCAGTCACTCTGCTGTATTTGGTGCTCTTTTCATATGAGTGTAGTTCTGGAATTGCAGACAGTTGTAAGGAAGGGAGGGGCAGACTTTTCTAAATTTTTTAAAGAACTATTCTATCATAGCGGAAGAGCTGAATATGTGAACTGAATCAGTGCTGGTTTTTGACTCATTTCAGTGCAAACATGTTTTGATCTTGAGCTCAGATTATTATTTTGAACCACTGTGTATGTTTCAGTCAGTGTTACTGGCTGAAACATACGCAGCACATTCTAAACATCAGTTTTGTCCAGACTTCACTGCTGTAACTGAAAATGCAGACTGGCATTTAGAATAACACAAGCTGGTCATTTGTGTTAATCATCTTTACTGTGAGCTCTTTGGTGTCTGTATATTTAAAGGAGCTCTGCTTGCTCATATCTAAAACTCACCTTCACTATTTACTTCGTCATCGAAGTTACCTCTTCGGGCAGCTGGAGCGCTCCCCACCCCTCCATTCCCCTCACTCCCAGCAGGCTGTGGTGTGCATTTTTGGTTTATTATTGAGATAAACAGCCACAGTGATATACACAGTGGCATTGCTGCAGTTATCATTATGAACCACTTGATGGTGCCAACTCCTCCATTTTCTCCTACATATCCTTCTGCCACGTCCTCCATGTTCTCTCCTCAGCTAACGCTGAGCATTTACATGACCCGCGTTCCAATTACAGTAGTTCACATTGCTGGTCTTAGCAGTGCAGAAGCATTTAAAGTTCAGGATCAAGATTAATCATGATGCTGACATTTAAAAGCACACATTAGCCTACCTCTTATAGTCATGCACCTGCTGATGGGGACATAGAAAATGGTTGGCTTCAAAATGGGACCATGTTTTGAAGAAATATCAAGAGCTGAAGGGACTTTCTGTAGATACTAGGTAATCATATTAATCATATTGTTTTTTACTTTCTCTTTCTCATGCGCTCCATCATATTAACCTTTGTAGACTGTTTGGACATAAACCTCTTTAGATCTTTCAGATTGTTACTGAGTATTCAGTCATTGAGAGTGAGAGATCATTTCACTTTGATGCTAATTTTTCACAATGCATACATTAACAAATTAATAGACAGAAATCAGTGTCCTAAATTATTTATTATTACTGTTTATTACTATAATAACTGATGTTTTTTGTGCAGCGAGGAACTGCACTATTTTTTATGTAATTTATCGTTTTTTTCACTGATGTAAGTGCCTTACTTTGTGTTACACAAGACACAAATCTTTCTCAGTGGTCTGAGAGATGAAACGTTGCTTTTTAACATTCTTTGATGAAGTTAAAATGTGTTTCTCATTTGCTGTGACATGGATGAGTTTACAGATGAGGTTTTGGGTGAGCAGAACGGAGTCTGTTCATTCTCTGCATTTCACCTAATGTTGATTGAGCCGAGAGCATGTGACATTGACAAAATACTGCACAGATGTTCATGGAACTTCTGCAGATAAGCAGGAGGTTGTCTGATTGATTATCTGTGGATTTACACTGGAGCCTATTGTGTCAGTGATGGGGGAGCTTCCCCTGTCAGAGCCTCAAAATGCTAGAGTGCAGAGAATGGATTGACTGGTGAGGAGAAAATAAACCTGTGGACAGTTTCCACTGATGCTCATGAGTCTCCAAGAAACCAATTATGATCTGAATAATTGAAATCCATTCTGCTTCGTAAATATTAACTTTGTGTCATCCACAAACTGGAAAATGTATACAGTATCCACTACATGAAAAAGCTATACAGCTCTGCAAAAACATCTTTTTTATCAAACATACTATGAAGTATTGTAACATCAGAAAAAAATGTACTAAAAATCCCATTTTCATTTAAAAGTACTGGCCATTGTTAACTGGTTCACTAAGGGCTATGAATAATTCATATATCTGCGGTGTGTTTTTGACCCACTGGTATATGCACTTTATTTGTGTAGCAATATCGCGGCAGAAGCATTAACTGAAAGGAGCAATTACAGTGGGTTTCAGAAGTCTGGACCACAAGCGGAAATGCTTCTATATTGCATGCTTTTCTACTTCAATACGAAGTTTTTCATTACAAGCGATGCTATCAGTATAACAGTTTGAGTGAAAAGTTGAAGTCTTTTGAAGTGTTTACATGAATTTCAGAATTTCTTCTGAAGTATTTGTCTGCTTTTTGCTTTAATGACAGCGAGCACTCGAGCTGGATTAGACTCCACAAGTTTGCGCTAGACCTCTCATGAGTAAATCAAATGCACCTGAGAGTCATCTGAACCTTTTTGTACAAAGGCCTTAACATGGTCAACGTTAAAAAAAGCTGCTTAAATTTCAGTAGTGACCTAAAATAGTGTAGAGCCTTTAATATTTCTCCTTTATTTTGCTTGTCATAACTTTTGGGGAAGAAAATCAAAATCATAAAACTTTCTGTTTCTGTTTACTTGCAAATTTAAACAAAAACGTCTGAGATTTTTAACGTGGTCTCAGACTTTTGGACGCCACTGTATGTCAGGCTTCTGCTGATTCTCAACAGTCTACTCTCTGTTTCTTACATTATAGTAATGTCATTGAGATGGGATTTACAAATCAAGGAATGAATTTTGGGAAGAAATCTAAATGCTGGTGACTTCAGGTAACTTTGTTGCTGTTATCCAAGTGTCCTTGACATATCATCGTAAATTAAGAATTTACACTTTTTTATATATTTCCAGTAACTTGTAATTAAAATCATTGTGCTTTCTGATGTAATTTGTACTATTCAAATGACAGTAGGCCTTTTGAAGAATCGGGCATGTTTCAGGTGAATCTGGGTTTTGTTTGTATTTTGTATCTTAACATTTAAAATAAAACCTTTCAGTAACAGTTTGGGAGTGCGCGCCGTGTCATGTCTGGCCTAGTATGGAGATACTTTTTCCATCTTACCCGTGTTTTTTTTTTTCTAGGAACTCTAGAACACTAATCTTTCCAGCCATAACATCCCTTTGAAATCCCCTTTTTCTTAGGCCTACTTCCATCGCTTTCTCTTGCAAAGGGATTATGAGGAAGCTGAAATCAAACCCAGCACTGGTGGAATATTAAATCCTAAAGTTTTCTCAGAAGTATAGCACATGTGCATTCTTTTTTTTCATGCCAGTGCTTAGAGAGCGAGAGAGAGAGAGGGTGTATGTGAGAGAGATGGGGAAGAAGATGGAAGGAGGAGAAGAGAGAGTCCTCACTCTCAGCATATCTGATTGGTTTGAACATGTGCAGCTGAGTATGAGGGAGCACTCATGCCAAGTCGCTCCTCGCTCTGCGCTCTGCCCCGCAGTCATTCGAAATTACTCATTCATGATGCGCGTCTGTTTGATATTTCGTACTGTGCGTGGGCCTCCTTTGTTTAGTGTCATCTGCCTCGTACTCGGGCGGCGGGAGGGGATTAGCAGAACCCCGTAACCGCACTGCTACAGAACACACCAGAGGGCTTTCGCAAAGCAGCACCCAGAATGAAGCTGCTGTCCTCTTTTTCTTTCCTTTTTTTTCCACCCAAAGCCAAGCTCGCTCTTTTTCTCTGGAAGCCTTTTGGAGCGTACCTCTAATTCCAGGGAGGCGTTGGTGTGCCCTAGCTGTGACGCACTGAGGAAACGCTTATTCTCGCAGCGCCTTGCATGTGTGCAATCTCACTCCAAGAACAAGGGCGCATATACTGATGTGGCGTAGTTTAGATTGAATGGGATTATATACGACCCCGTATATGGCTGTGAGTTTGTAGCCTGAGAAAATGGCGTTACAAATGGAAATAATCTTTCTGTTAAATGCAGCTCACACCTCAGTGTGAGTGATACATTTGGGATCTTTGATATCAAGGCAGCTTGCTCGCCTACGTCCCATGTGTTGGTGAACAGGGTCTGCGTACAACCCAAGCCACTCCACTCTGAAATGCAGAGAGCTGGAGTTGGCCGAGCCAACCAGGACACGCGCTGACCCATCTATATCCTCTCACCAGCACCACTCATTTAGCTCATTTTCTTCAGCTGGCTCCAAGTCTGGCAAGACATGCAGGTGCCCTATTCGTTTTCTGAGAATGAGTCTGCAGAAAGACACCTACGACCGTTCAAAAGAGATGTATAATATTTCTATAGTACATACGTAAATGCCAGTTTCAGCGTTTCAGAAGCTGTGCATCAGATCAACTTCATGGTCATTAATACATGACCGTTCAAAAGTTTGGACTCACTTTTCATTAATCTTTGCTGTTATTTTATTAAGTAATAAGTTGTGTAGATTGAAATACTTTAAAGCTAAACCCCATGAAGTATTTTAAGATGTTTTTATTCAATTAATTGATGCTAAATGTCAGGTAATAAACTGTAATTATCTTTTTTATTTCAATTTTTTGATAGGTTATCTGCTTTGAGGTTTGATTGCGTTTCAAGTGTGGGGCATCCTGGTTGTTAACTATTTATGTAACTATTATATACTCAATGTTGTACAGCTTTCTCAGTCATTATGGAGTCATACACAGCTCTGTTCATTATTCAGGACTCATCTAGAATTGAAAAATTTTGGAATATGTATAACAATTTCACACACAGCGCAGAACCCTGCACTTTTCTTGCATTTAATTTTTTCTCTGAAGTCCATTTATAATGCTTGTGTGGGTTTATGTACCAAAAACAGTCATAATTCATTTGCACATTACATTTTTCAACCATTTTTTAACTATTAGATTGAAACAGTCGGTTTCATTACTGTACCTTTTAAGACTGATCTCTGGTCTGATTGGCTGGCCTGAACGGTGCCTTGTTCTAAAAGCAGTCTGAATGGGCTGTTGCAGGCTGAGTATGTGGATATATGTAAATGTGTTGTTTTTTGTGATATCACAAAAACAATTCGTTTAAATGGGCTCTTTCTGCTACTTAGTTTCTATCTATGGATTTTATGGAGTGGGGAGGGAAAATTATGTTTTAAAACTTTAACAGTGCTTACACACTACATCACACTCCTTTACTTCCAGAAAGGGAGGAACATTTTGTTTTCTGTGATATGCCCCCTTCAAACTAATTGGTTTTACATTATAAGTAATAAGTAAGTCCAAACTTTTGAATGGTAGTGTACATCCTGCAAAGCCTGTTCAGTGGATTACAAAGAAGATACACATGCCATGCTGTAGATCAGAGATCTTCCACAGGATTGTGGGCATCAGAATAAGAATTGTACAGAAAATTCCAGTCGCCAGGGCAACAAGGAGGCAAAAATTTAAATAGCAACAGAGGATGATGCTGCCTCTCCACACCAGCAGGGTTCATGCAGAATCCGCCTGTACTATCGCTGCTTTAAAAGAATAATGGACTTTGTTGTGAAGAAAATTCAAGGTAAGAGTCGGGGGTTGGTCATTAATAATCCATGAATGAATTCTGGTGATTTTTGTTTGTGCCTAATTTCTTTCTTGCGGCTATCTACGAAAGATTAAACCTTTTGACCACACCATTTTCAACCTTTCTCTGGAATGCTATTAGGGCCATTATGTATAATCCAACTCCCCATGGCACAGACTGCATTATCAGCTTTCAATTCCATGGCCTCTTTCTTCCTCTTCACATTTCTTTTGCTCTCTCTCTGCCTCTTGCTGCCTGATTAAGCTGAGGGTGGGCCCCATCAGTTTGCCCATTCATTAGCAAAGTCACCCTCTCTTAGTTTTATAGTTTGTTAAATTTTTAACTGTTTTTAAGAGGTTTCCCATCCGCCCTGAAGAGGAGAGCACAAATTTACATCATTTGCATCTGTACAACAAAGTGCTTGACTATGAAGCTTTTTCACCTGAAGAAAAATCTCCATTAGCGCGGTAATTTTGTGTTGAATTAAGCTGTGTCTGGAAGACTAGCCCTGAACAATAATGCAATCACTCAGTATACTTCATTTATTTTTGATGGACATTGGACTCTTTCTAACTCTCTTAGTTATTATAGATTATGTCTGTTTTTGCCATATCAGAGCTTGATGTCTCCAGACCTCGCTCAAAAGGACGGCACAAAAAAGTCTCCCAAGAAGAGGCAGGCAGGGTAGACAATGGCAGCAGAAGCCTTTTGAAAACAGGTAACATCATCATTCTGTGCTTTAGCTTATTTTATGCTTTTAGGTTTTTGATGATAATATGAAACTAGGCGCTGCCATAATACTGAAGATGGGAAAATGATGACACTTTTGCTGCAATAAAATTATTAAAACGTTCAACAATCTCCCTCTTTGAGTTTAAAACTGACCATTGGGAGACGGAGCTGTTAAACCAAGTGTGAAACATTGTGTTTGACATCACAGGTTTGGTTGGTGATGTTTCAGTGGTTTGGATTTTCATGTATATATTTGATTATAATATCAGTTAAATGCTTGTAAGAAGCTTATTACATATCATACATTGGGTCAGTTTCTCGGACGTGGATTAAAGGAAATTAAAGGAAATTGGAGCGCTATATCAGGGAGGTTCTCTGAACTACCTTAGCATTTAGTTTGATGATAGGTGGGGGTGGTGAAAGGGGGTGGGGGAAATGATACCGGTCAATAATTTTTTTTCTCCACCATCTGGTGCACGGTGACGTAATCAAAAATCAGAAAATGTTTTAACCTCTTAAAATGCCAGACTTGTTGTACTAAGCCTTATTATTCAGTAACTACAGGGATATAAATGCAAACTATTCTTAGGTTATAGAAGTGTGTAATAAAACGGGGCCTGCTGGTAGGCCATTTAAGGGGTTAAAGCTGGCAAAAGTCGCTATACTTCAATTAAAGATTATAGTAAAACAAGAATTTTGTCTTTTAAATTGGTATTGTACATCAAATCTATATACCGATATATAGAATTTGATTTCAGGTTGACTTTAAGCTTAGTCTTGGACTATAATTCAGCACCAAAGGTAAATGACAGTTGGAAATTTTTAGTCCAGGTTTAGGCTTAATCTGGGTCTGAGAAGTTTGTCAGAGTATTAAAAACCACAAACATAGTATAAACAACCAAAGTATAAACTTTATATGGAAGACGAACAGGATAAATGTTTCAGCACAAGGGAAGCTGGGCATGTTGTCCGGTGACCGCTTGTTATGTTTCCTTAGATGTATTGATTTCTAGCACAGCCTAGATCCTTTCATAATGTCAACAAGTTGAGAGGAAGCTGTGAAAATCTTTGGCATGTAATAAAGCAGGCTAAGGGGCAATCAATCTTGGGCAAAAGAGCTTATATCTTAGATGGATTTATCATTAAAGGCTTACAGGCTTGTTAAAGGTCAAAGCAAATCAAAGCCATTATTTTGCCTTTCACTGTGTGTTTTCGGGAATGCATGGCCTTTTCGCTGTCTGTAATAGTCTAAAGGCTCTTCATGTTAAACAGTCGTGAAATGTTCTTCTAGTTAACTTCACTTTATGCTGAGAAGTGGTTCCTAATCCCAGTTCTGGGCACCCCATTCTCTGCACATTTTAAGCTAGAACACTTGGTTCAACTTTTTGGTTTGTTGGAGATCAGACGTCACACATCCCACACATTTACAGAACACTTAAAATAAAGGGGCAAAAAAGGGTTTTTAGAATGATGCCAGTGAAGAACCACTATTGGTTCCCTAAAGAACCGAAAAAGACAGGGTCTGGGGACCCTTTTTGTAAGATGTGTGAGCAAGAAGAACCTTCATAAAGTTCAAAGAACCTCCATAACAATTCAAAGTTTTTCTGCCAATCATACATGCCAAGAAGCTTTTAGGAACCTTTGCTGTTAAGAGTGTAGAGAAAACACAAATATGTGCAAAGCATGGGGTTTGGATTGGGAACCAATGCTGTACAGACCATTTAGGCCTAAATAGACCATTTAACTCATAAATGTGAACCTTCTGACATCTGTCCAGGT